TAATTAATCGTACCGTTCGCGATTCTGCTTCTCGCGCGTTAGTTCTAATAGTTAAGAGGCAGAGGGGGCGCGCGATCTTTTGAATAGGCAGTTACGCCTCAGCTGTGAACGGGAGTTACCGCCGATTTGTTTTTCGCACTTTTTTTTCGCCGAATAAAGTTTTCTTTGGTCAATTACGTGCGTGAGTGCAACGGCATTTTCGTGACAGATAATGGCAGCAGTACAGAAGCAGCAACAAAGATATATTGAGGCAGATCGAGACAGCGCAGCTGATAATCGAGGGGCAGCGGCAGTTGAGATTTTTTGCAACAACAATTACGGCTGATCACCGTAATTGCACCGCATGGTAGGTGCACGTTCCGTCATATTAAGCGATACAAAATACATTCGATATTTTGTATATTCGTGATAGCGTTATTTTTTGTATTCGCGCCGAGCGTTAGTTCGCGGTATAATTCGAATTTTCTCTCTCTCTCTTTCTCACTGAAAATAGTTAATTGTAAAATCCTATTCGCGAGCGTTAGTCTTTCGGCCCTACAAAGACTGTAGTGATTTTTTATTAATTAAAGTCTGTTAAATTTATTCGCCGTTTTCGTCATTTGATTTTCCTAGTAGATTAAGTAATTGGAAAAGGCTTAGGTTTTAATCCAATTACATCTAGGGGATTAAGAAGATTAGGTGTAAAGTCGCTCACACTTAAAACTCAACGAGTGTCACAAGACACGTGACTTAAGGTGAGTTCAACTCCGTTTACTAGAAGACAACTAGGATAAATCATCTGACGTTAAGGCGAATACACGTACTAACATACGTGTTTAACGGAGCGGCGGTTTGCTCTGCATGGTGGGAATTTGTTCTTAAATAAATTTCTCATTTTCAGATTTATCGTCCCCGTTACAATATCTAAAATTCTCTGATTTATTCGATGTTTTTCGGGCTGGGGTAGATTTACCCCACCGAGCAGTTACGTGGCCAAAATGAGGTGTGCAAGTTAAGGGTTAACTCAATTTATTTTCGACAACGTTTCGCTAGTTTGTCTTTCTTGAGTTGAATTTTTCGAAAATTCTTCAGTTGTGTTGGATAAACGTTATATAAGTTTTTGTCATATTTTTTCCTGTAGAATCGATTGCCGCAATCAGTTTTAAAAAATATTAACTTTTTTTGGTAATTTATTTAAATAAATTTTTATAAACAATTGCAAATGGCAAAAGAAACAACACGGGTACTTTTTTTTTCTCTTATGCTATGAATGGCATAGTTAGTTTAGCGCTGTCTCATGCTGTTTTGGCATGGTCCTTAATGGATTAATTAACTAAGTAAATGAAAAAGTGGTGGATTCTATTGGTATATGCAACCCCAATCCCAAGTGGGAAAAAATCATTTGAATTACATCAATTACAATGAATTACTGTAAAATAAACCAATAAGGAAGGTACCTCAAGATTATGTCGTCGATTTGGATGATACTGTATGTTGTGTACATTGAAAGATAAGACATCTATTTTTCATACTTGCTAATACACAATCTTAGGGGGTGAAATCCGTTCCGAAATTCCCACCCAGAAATGGTTTTGTTCAAATATTTCAGAAACAAATAAAGATAGTTCGATGAAACAATTATGTCTTCTGATTTGTTCAAGAAAATTCTTCAACCAATGCGGAAAATCTCGACTTTGCTCCCCATGGACCTGAAGAAGGGAATTGCCACACAACTAAAAATTAAACAATTTATGAAACTAGAGAGAGAGAGAGAGACTACAAAAGAACTAATATGTGGATTAAAAATACGTTATGTATTTTTGCGTTACGCGCAAGCCAGCGACCCTAAGTCTACGCTTACTCCAAGCATACCTGAAAGTGACCCCGACGTCACAATACATTAGAACGAAGTATAATTTTTTTTGTCTATAATACTAATAATATCTTTGTGTAGAACTAGTTTCATTTTTCGAATCTTCTTACAACCACACCTACAGCCGATCAAAATATTGAATATCACTGAATTTTTCAATATAATCTATTTTTAGCTCGATACATTTTTTCAGATATCCTTTGAGTTTTTCTAAAATATGATTTTAAGAGTTTCTTAAAATAGCCATTTATTTGTGTCATTTTCTTCTCGTTTGATATGAGTCGCTGTCTGGCAAGCCAGTTTTTTGAGTTTGGAAATAAAAAGTCACTGAGATCCAAATCTGGTGGATGCGATAAATGGTCCACTAATTCGAACTTCAATTTCTCAATTTTGGTCATTGAAACTGCGCAACTGTGTATTCGTAAATTGACTTCATGAAACATAATTTTTTTCTTGTTCAAATGAGGACGATTTTCCTTTAATTTCATCGGTCTAATAACGACACACAATACTTTCCAGTAATAGTTTGTTCCTTTTTCTAAATAGTCGACGATTATAATTACATTTGCATTCCAAAAAATAGAGTCCGTAACCTTGCCGGTCGATTTAACCATCTGTGTCTTCTTTGGAACCTGTTCATCTTTAAATAATTTACTATTTTCACTATTTCTACATCTCGAAAGTGTAGTGGTGTATCCACATTTCATCCACAGGTATAAATTGTCGCAGAAAGTCGTTCGGATTACGGCGGATACGCGTTAAGAGGGCCTTAGCAGCAACTACATAATTATGTTTATTCTTCACTGTGTGCAAATACGACACCCATTATGCCGACATTTTTCTCGTGTCGAATTTAACATGCGAAATTGATATCTCTGTCATTCCAATTTTCACATAATTTTATTCTTCGATCACCTAATACCGTGTGGTGGATTTTGATTATCATTTAGGAGGTACTCATTTCTACAGGACTCTTGAAAGATGTTCATCTTTTATTGATGGATAGTCACCTTTAAATTCATCAACCCAATTATAAACAGTAGCAAATATATAGGCGAATACGCCATGAACTTCTCGGAACTCACTTTTTTCCATTGTTAAGAGATAAGCAAAAGTTGTTTACTGTAACCAAGAATAAAGACGGAACAACTTGATGGATCTGACTCAAACTTTTACAGTACTCTAGTTAGAAGTGATATTTGCTGTAAGAACATGAGTCGTGATACCTTGTGCGTTATCTCTTAAATGTTCTAATGACTTATTACCCACCCTCATACCTATAAATAGGGCTAGTTTTGTTTCTTGAATGCCCTAACAACCATGCATACAACAGTTTGTATCTATCGTTTTCAACAAATATTATACTTTTACTGCAGCGTTTCTTATTAGAAAATTAGATTTGAACAAATGATGATTTTATTTATCTATAATATTATTACAGGCCAAGTTTCATTTGTCACATCCCCTAATAACCACCCCTGCAACCATTAACCATTAGAATCGGTCATTTTGGACGAATTTTCAACTTTTTACTCTAGCATTTCTTATTCGCAAAGCATATTTGAAGGTGTGGAAGTTTTTCTATTATATAATACTTATATCTTTCTTGAATCACCCACACCTACAGGCCTGTTTGAAGATGTAAGCATTATATACAATAAAAATGTTTGTATGTTCGAATATATTTTGCTAAGAAATGCTGCAGTAAAAAGTTCAAAATTCTCTGACATCTATCAACTAAAAAAGCTGTTTGAGTGATTATTAGGGGATCTGACAAAGGACACTTGACCTAACAATAGGTATCATCATTATATGTAAGAAAAACTTCTAATTATTCGAATATATTTTGACAATAAAAAGTACAATTAGTGTTATCCCATAGCAGTATAACCAAGCATGTAATGAATCACAAAATGGGTAATTTGTATTTACCCGTTTGTACAATGTTTGTATTTACAAATTTGTACTTACGATTCATTACCTTTATATTTCTCACTATATTATTTATAAGAATAAATAAAGGTGAGTATTTAATAATTTATATTTTTCTGAGTTTTTCATTATTGAATAATGTTGCAAACTTCTAAGTATTTTTTTATAAAATAGGTAGTTGTACAAATAGATTTCTTTTCCAATGTATTTTGCTACTGATATTTGACAATCATAATTACAACCTTGTTTAAGAATAAATTGTCAAATAACCAAGGAACCTAATGATGGAAATTTATTCTTAAAATCCAACCGATAAATCATGACGACTTATTTTTAAAAATAATATCATACTAAATAAATAATTAAATAAAAGTTTTATTATTTATTACTCAAGAACTTTTTCAAAATATGCTAAATAACATATTTACTTTTTTATTCAATTTTTTACATAAATTTATACTTTAACTTAGAGCAAAATTTAATTTATATTTTTATGAGAGTTACTTCAATGTTTGATTAATATTTTTTTATTTTTGTATCAACTACAAAATCTATATATAACTATAAATAACTTATTTTTTCAATAAACTATATTCTTTTTCATTGCTTCAATATATCAATTTCAATGATTACGACTGAAGTATATTTATACAACCTTAAATCAACTATAATATACGTTTTTAAATTAATGTATATAATATAAAAATCTTTTATAATTTACTAAAGTATTATAAACAAAATACTTATTGTTATCTATTTCATCTAAATAATTTAAAATAAGATAAATTAAAATAAGTTTGATAATTAAAATAAGCTAAAAAAGTTATTATTCATTTATCACTGAACATTTTAAATATTATGCACAGCTATTGTATTTAAATTTATTTTCTTAAAAATAATGTCGAAATATATTTCCATCAGTAATACATTAGTATATTAGACTTTATATTCAATCAATTTATTAAAAATGTAAATAGTAAGCAAAAAAATATACTACTAACTAGATTTAGCACTATGTTTTCTTGAAGAAGATCTCTTCCTACACTAGACTAAAAATTTATTTTTAGAAAATGTATAAAATCTGACTGCCTTTTGTATATAATGATAGTCATGGAATATTGTTAGTTACAACAATATTACCATAATATTAAATTCTGTATTATGATTAATTAAGTGATATTGATAAATTAAGTTAATTCATGATATATTTACTTACTTTTACTGAATTTGAATTAAAAATAAGATTTCCAAATATTATACTGCCATAGATAGCTGAACTAATAAACACGAAAGCAATGAAAATCTTAGAACACTTAACTATAACTACATAATTTAATTTTCGAAAACGAATTGTTTTGAAAATGTCTATTATATTAGCAGCAAAATTATTATTATATTCGAATATTCTAATTCTAATCTATTCTATCTAATTTAATTTAAAAAGCACAAAAAATAATTTTGAACGACCCATGATACCTAACAGCATGAAAAGTGTATACAAGAGGTCAAGAAGATTACGACGTTGGCTCATTGGCTCAATATAATAGCCTACACTATATAGCTCGCATCAGACCTATCTAGTGAGCACTGTTCGAAGAGTATATCAGCTGATTTCACCTGGGCCCTAGGTGGGATCGAAACGACCCTGGCAGAAAAATGATTGATTTAAAAAAATATATATATACCATTAGCTTCGTCTTAATTTGTACCACCCGAAAATTCATTATTTGGAATTTGTACCCTCCTGGTAAAAAAATGATATCTATCATAAAAGTAAAAAATACCACTAGTTTCATTTTAATTTGTACCATCAGAAAAATGCTTTTTTGGAATTTGTACACTTTCTAAAAATAGAGAAAAGAAAGATTTTCGTAGGATAGATTAGCAATTCAAATTAACGTATTACTGCGCATGCGCGGCGGAAAATCTATCTTTCAGCAGAAAAATATGCGATTTAAAAAAATATATACAGGGTGGGCCATTTTTAATGACCCAGTCGATTTTCTCGGAAACTATGGGGGTTAGCGAAAAATAGTTCAGATGAAAGTTGCCCAACTTTGAGGGGGACATATCCCTATGACCTTGCCTTTGACCTCTAATGTCATATTCAAGGTCATTTGAAGGTCAACTTTGTTTTTTTAAATAGAAACCCCTATTTTTGACCCCGGATTCGAAAAGAGCGGAAAATTCTACATTTAGATAAGGTAATATGAGTGGGGTCAAGGTTCGAAATTAGAACAAAGTAAAATTGTAATGTTTATTTTATTGTATCGGAGGATTACAAGGTCAAATACAACTTATGTCTGCTATTTACGAAGTCATTTATTAAGCATATTCTAAATATCATTCATTTAACCTGGAAGCAAATGTTCGAAGTTACCTCCATTTGCTTGTAGGCATAAATCGAACCGCCTCTGGAAATGGCGCACAGTGCCAAGCAAAGTTTCTCTTGGTATTGCAGCGCATGCTCGGCGAATGCGATCTTGCATGTCTTCTCTAGTTGTCGGCTGATGTTCAAAAACAACATTTTTCAAATAGCCCTATAAATAAAAGTCTGGGGATGTGAGGTCAGGTGAACTTGCAGGCCAGTTAACTGGACCTCCTCGTCCGATCCATCTACCATTATAGTTTTCATCCAAAAAAGCCCGTACAATTCGAGCGAAATGTGGTGCTGCACCGTCCTGATGAAGCCACATTCTTTGTCGCGTGTATAAATCAACATCTTCCATCATTGCAGGTAACTGATCTCTTATTAGCTGTAAATAACTATTCCCGTTAACGTTTTCTTCAACAAAACAAGGACCGATCAAATAACCATTGATGATTCCACACCAAACCATCAGGCTCCAACGCCTCCTGTGATTCACAGTTCTGTGCCAATGAGGATTTTCATTCGTCCAATAGTAGCAATTATGCCTATTAAGTTCCTAGTCATTTTGGAATTTAGCCTCATCAGATAAAAGGACATAGTTGAAAAAAATTGGATCATTCTGTATCATCTGTAAGGCTCATTGGCAAAACGCAATTCGCTGTTGGAAATGTGCAGGTTGTAACTCCCGGACCAAAGTAATATGATAAACATGATATTTTAGGACTCTGAGAATTCTTAAAACTGTTCTTCTTGCTATACCATGTCCTCTTTCAATTCGGCGACTGCTGGTATGAGGATCAAGGTGAATGATTGCAAGAACAACAAGAACACGTACATCATTTGCGTCATACACGTGACACCTGCGTTGCCTAACCAAACGTCCACGACGAGCTCTCTGAGTTATGCGACTTATTTGTCTATGATCTGGGTGTTGTCGGTGAGGAAAGCGTTCAGCGTAAAGTTTAGCTGCAGCACGATAAATATTATGACTAGTTCCTAAAACCAATAACATATTCATAATCTCATTCGGCTGATAGTCAGGCATTTTTAGAGGTTTCAATCACTCAAACAAAATTAAGATCACGTAATTTCAATCGGAACTTCCAAGACTGATGGAAATAGAAAATTTGAAAAATTACTCAAATTTCATGATTAGTTTCCTTTTGATGATTTTTCAAAATTTGGAACGTAAAGGAATTGAAGTTATTTTGTTTTTGTTAAGTTGAAGAATTTTTCATACATTTGTAGTATGATGTTGCATTAGTAATTTTTTGCAATGAATATTTAATTTACATGTAACATCATTCTGATTTTATGTAATTACAAAATACAAATAATAACTTTAAGATTATCATCTGAATTTTGGAATGGTGATGTCAGAATATGACAATAAATATCTACATAATTCTTTAATGAGAAAAACATAAAAACGAAAGCTTAGTCTGTAACCGAAGATGAAGGCGGAATGACCTTGAACATAACCTGAAAGTTAAAAGGCAAGGTCATATAGATATGTACCCTTGAAAGTTGAAGAAACTTGTTTGAAGAGTTTACGCTTAACCTTAAGCGTCCCAGATTATTCGGGCCGGAAAAATGACCTGTACATGGACTTGGGGTTCATGCGGATCCCACACATATTACCTTATCTGAACGTAGAATTTCCCGCTCTTTCCGAATCCGGGGTCAAAAATAGGGGTTCCTATTTAAAAAAACAAAGTTGACCTTCAAATGACCTTGAATATGACATTAGAGGTCAAAGGCAAGGTCATAGGGATATGTCCCCCTCAAAGTTGGGCAACTTTCATCTGAAATATTTTTCGCTAACCCCCATAGTTTCCGAGAAAATCGACTGGGTCATTTAAAATGGCCCACCCTGTATATGAATGCTTTCTTCTTAATTTGTACCATCTAAAAAATACATAAAACTAATTTGTATCCTTGTAAAATTTGACTAATACAATGTTTTTTGTGCGATTTTAATACTGATAAATTTTACAGGAAAATCTTTTATTTCTTAAGAAAAAATATATTTCTAGCTTTACCTTAAATTTTACCAACTGAAAATAGTTTTATGGTAATTTTTACACTCTAAAGTTTAATTAGTCATGTTAATATACAAAGTCATAAGTTAACGTGTGTTCTTAAACTTCTATATCTGCAAAAACAGCTGATTACTCGGATGATAAAATAGGAAACTCTGATAGGAAAAATATTTATTGCCTAAAACAAAATACACCACCAGCCTTGCCTTAATCAGTACCATTTGAAAAATATTTATTTCGGAATTTGAACCCCTCGAAAATTAATAAATTAATAAATGTTATTTTTTAATAACATTTAAAAATATATTATTTTGATAACTTAAAAAATAAATTTTTCTTAATAACGTTTTTACTTTCATTGACACTGTCAGTATTCATTTTGAATTTGAAAAAATCTAAAAACCCAGCGTGTTTTAAATTTTATTATATTGTCCAAATGTATTATACTTGAATAATCAAATTTTTTATAATAATTAATATACTTAATATTATTCTTTTTAATAAAGCGAAAGAATTAACATTATAAATTTTGTTTTTATTAAATATGCTTGCGTGCATGTGCACTGTGCACGCTACACTAGCACCATCGTTGGCGCTCTCCTCTGTGCGCCGCAGCGTGCACTCACTCATGCTTCAGCTTCTGTAGCAGCTAGCAACAGTGACACCAATACATAAGTGCCTTAGATTGTACCTTTTGTTAAATAAAATTAGAATATTATTATTAGAGAGTGAAGCCTATCCATGTCCTTTTATTTTCTAACCACCATCCAACAGTTATCTTATAAGCAGAATCGTGAACAAAATACTACGCTTTAAGGCTTGAATGTTACTAGCAAAACAACAGACTCATATATTGATCTTTATATTGTTAATATTCATATATTGATTTTTTTTTTATTTTATTAATAATGACTTCTTAAGTTATAGAGCACTTTGTACAGTGATACTGATCTAATTTACGGGATAGTGATGGAAAGATTTGTGACAACAGAAAAATTAAGAGATTAAGGTGGAAGGATGGATAAAAAAGGTACAGAGGAGGAAAAGAAGAAAAGAGTAAAGGTGGTGAGGGGGAGAGATAGCGGAGAGGGACTGAGGGAGAATATTAGAGGAGAAATGAAAGAGGCAAAAAGATGCAAGAGTGAAAGTGAGGGGAGCGAGATGGAAGGGGAGGAGGGAGAAGGATTGAACAACACGATAAGAGGAGTGGGAAAAAGTAGTGGTGCAGAGGATATAATGGAAAAGATACGGGCAGATACAAGGGATTTAAGAGAGGTATGGGAGGAAGAAAGGAGAGAATGGACAGAAATGTTTAAAGAAATTATGGAAAAAATGGAAAGAATGGAGACAGAGGGGAAAAGAAGATAAGAAAGATGGGAGAAAGAAATAGGCAAAGTTAGGAGAGATAAAGAGAGAGAGAGAGAAGAAAGAAGGAGAGAGACGAAAAAAGAAAGGGAAAAAGCAGAAATTAGAGAAAAGAAACTGCAGGACAAATGGGGAGAGAGGATGAACTAGTTGGAAGAAGCGTGCGTGAAATTAAAAGAAAGTATAGAAGGAGGAAACGAGAAGCAAAGAGGAACAGAAGTAGGTATTAAGGAAGAAATAGACCATGTGAGAGAAAAAATGGATAGAGAAAGTAGGTTAAACAATATAATAGTGATAGATTTAGAGGGTGGGTTAAGATGGGAAAAGAAGAGTAAAGCAGAGGACTGGTTAAGAGAGGAACTAGAAATGAAAGGGGAAATAGGGAATCTGAGAAGAATAGGAGGGATAGCGGGGAGGGATGATCGGAGAGAAAGAGGAAAAAAGATGTGGCAAATGAGATGCGCTTCGTGGAAACAAAAAGAAGGAATCATAAAGAGGAAAAAGAAGCTGGGGCAGAAAAAGATATTCATAGATCAGGACTGGATGTGGAAGCAGAGGAAGATAAGAGAGGAAGTAAGAAGGAAAGCGAGAGAAATAAAAGGTAAAGGTAAAGAGGTAAAGATGTGGCAAAACGGGTTGAAGTCAGAAGAAGAAGCATGGTGGTGGAGTGAGAAAAAGGGAAAAATGGTAGGAAAAAGGGCGAAAGGGTTTCGAAAACAATAGGAAAAAAAGAGAGAGAGAGGAGGGAAGGGAGAGAGTGGGAAGAGAGGCAGTAAAGATAC